GGTGGAACCAGAGGGATGATCAGACTAAAGGACACAAGACACACTAGAGAGCAGGTGCACCATATTGAAAACAATGGGATTCAATAAAAATCCATATGCTGAGTGGTATGATTTCCCCCAGTCTCACTGCCCCCATGTAGCCTTTCTAAAGATTAGAAGTGTTCTTTCTTCGGAAAACAAACCAGCCTGAAAACTAGATACTTACATTTGGGAGTTCCCAACCAAACGCCTGGCTCTCATTCTGATCAACCAATAGTGAAGCCTATCAGCTGGCAAGACCCTGCCATGCAGCTTAGTGTCTCATCTTTAAAAGATGAGCTGACAGCCAAGGACCACCAGACATTTTCTGAGGTTGGGGGGAGAAACCAATAAGAAGAAAACTCGCTCCTCAGAGAGATGAGAGTACATATGGCATCCATACAGAAGGAACAGAAGGCAATAGAAAAGGAAAGAGATAACAGAAAGAACTCTTGGGATTTAAAAATATAACAGCAGAAATAAAATATTCAGTAAAATATATAAGATGAAGCTCCAGATATCTCTCAAAAAGTGGAATTTAAGACAAGAGATGGAAAAAAGTAGGGAACACATAAAAATATTAGAGGATGAGTCCAAGAAGTCTAAAGTCCTTTTAATTTTGAAGAAAAATTATATCTAAAATTCTAAAGCAATGCATCAATTAAGTGTATAGATTGAATAAGAATCTTTTGAGACACACGAAGTCTCAAAAACGTATCTTCCCTTCTTCCTTTCTCAGGAAGCTCCTGAGTGGTATAGTCTACCAAAACAAGAAGTGAACCAAGAAATATGAAGATATTTATGTCAGAGGCAGCGAATTAGTTCTTAACACTTATTTCACTCTCCTGGTGGCAGACACTGGAAATCTAAAAACATTTGTTTATATTCTTTAAAAAAAATCATAGTAAACAGTTCTGAACGACCACGTTTCTTCACTTGGCAGAAGGGGACATAAGGATGTCATAAAATGGGAGAACCAAGAACCAGAGATTGCTGAGTCAACCCCACAGACACCCAGAATATTGTGAGTTGATATTCCCTACCACATATCTTTATCATTTTACTCTAAAACTTCACGGTTAGTAAGTTTTAGTTGAAGAAATGCACAATACATAAATGTAGCCACAGATGCATTTTCCTTAATGTAAGGAAAACGAAATGCCTGTATTCAACAGCTAAAATTATGAAAATAAAATTATGAAAATGTTAAGGAGGGAAGTTTTGAGTCTGCAGCTGTGGAAGTTGCACTCAAACAATTTAGTTGGACAAAATGTTGACTGTTTTCTCAAAGTGGCATAGACTTTGGGTTGGGGGAGATGGACCAGGATGGCTTTAGCCAGAAAGTACTAAAAAAAAAGTTACCATTTTCTGTTAACTGAAATTTTGTTTTCTTACATACCAAACTTAAATCCCCAAGTACAAGCGCATCAAGTCTAGGAAAGACAGGATGTGGCCTCCTTTATAAAGGCGAGATTATGCAATACGGTCCTCTAGAAGGATGGAGGGAGATACGGTCACGTCATTTCTGAGTCTTAGGCTCCTGAGAGAAGGCATAGGAACCACTTTCTCCCCACCATTTGCATAAACAGCTTAAATCCTGCCATCTTTTCAGAGTTTTTTACACCAGGGGATAGAAAGTCAGGAAAACAGTACATAGAACTGAGACACCCAGATAAAATCTGAACTCCCTCGCTCTCAAAATTCTTCAAGAGAAGTAGATAATGAACATAGACAGGAAAGGGAGATGCTTTCATTTCTAGTCTGGCATGGGGATAAAATAAAATTTGAACAGGAGATAAAATTATTTTATTGAAGTTATACACTCCCTTTACCCATAGGCTGAATGTAAAAGCTAAAACTTAAGTATTTGCAGATTGGATAGTTACAATCTTGCCTTATGGTACATAACAACTTTATAAATTTTTAATTATTTTTCTGGTCATATGATTTTTTTCTACAGGGAAAAAGATTTCTTACAGTTCCAAAAAAATTTTGCAATACTCAACGTCTCTAGTTTCTAAAGACTCACAAAACATGATTGGGTTGTAATTTATAATATCAGAGCAAACAAGCTTTAGAAATAAAAAGGCTTTTAAAAATTCATTGATATGGGAGATATATATACATATAGATAAAGAGAAAGAGGAAGACATATTCAAAGTACGTTAGATTTTCGTCTCTGAAGAAGCCCTTTGATTTCATATTAAATTTCATATATACGAATAAATTTCATATATATTCTAAATAATAATTGTAATTTTTGCCCTTATTTTCAGTTTTTCACTTAGCAACAGAAAAATACAGTTCACATCTTCCTACTGAGTAGGCCCAGAAGAAAAAACCTACGTATATTCTGATCAACCTTAATGGTTTCGAAGCAGTTGTTGTAGCACCATGATTTCAAATCACGACTACTTCCTCAGAACTCTTCTGAGATAATAACAACAAAAACAACAATTTAAAAACCCATCTAAACCACAGAAAAACAAAAACTCCATAGAACTTAAAGGCACAAGCCAATTGGGCCCATGCCCCAAAGAGCGCTTATTTAAAGTCTGATTTTTCAAACACAGAGCTGATTTACAACACTTTTATGTGAATCTCAAAACACCCTTGTATGTAATTTTCTTGACCCACAACATACTAACAGAGTAACTTCTGAATTAGAAAGCAGAAAATTGCTAGAATTCCATCCTGTCACATGGAGAGAGAAATACACAAGTGGTTCTGCGGGATCAATAAAAGGACAGGAACTTCTGGTGACAAAGAAGCTAGTTTTAAAGCAATAACAAAAAAGAATTGTACTAAACGCCTAGTCTGAGCCCACTTACAATCTCTCTGCCTTTGATTTCCGCTAAAGCTCATATAAATTCAGGAATGCAAGACAGCAGAAGAAAGTATTAAAAATATAAACATTCCCTTAACTCCACACAATCCCTAGTACCAGGACTTTTCAAAATAGACAAGTGACTAATAAGACCGGCCTTGAATATACTGCCCCTCTCACAAACAAAAACAAATAGAAATTAAATTTTAAGGAATAATTTCATATTGTTGTTTATTAATACGTTTCACAGTAGTTTGAAGAAAATCATAAACAACTGAACATTGTGCACATGAAGAAAGCGATGTTGCCATTAACCATATATACGAACTCAGGAAACTGTAAAATATTTGCCCATGGGGCCGGCCCAGTGGCGCAGCAGTTAAGTGCACACGCTCCACCGTGGTGGCCCAGGGTTCACAGGTTCGGATCCCTGGCGTCCCCCCACCGACACACCACTTGTTAGGCCATGCTGTGGCGGCGTCAAATATAAAGTGGAGGAAGATGGGCATGGATGTTAGCCCAGGTCCAGTCTTCCTCAGCAAAAAAGAGGAAGATTGGCATTGGATGTTAGCTCAGGGCTAGTCTTCCCCACAAAAAAAAAAAAAATTTGCCCAGATTGGGAAACAAAATTAGTACTCCCCTACCACCAACCACAATTAAACCATTGTCAGCAGCAGAGTTGGCTTTCAGAACACACAAAGCTTCAATTAATAGTGGGAAAATGTCTTATTTTTCTCCAAAAATCTTGAATTGGAACAAGAAGAGTAAATAAACTGGATTCAACCAATCACTTCCTTTCCATAAAAAGAGGAGGAGTATCTGTACCCATAGCAAGAACAATAATAGGTTGAGGTTTGTCATCAGAGTCTTTGGATCTAAAATACTAAGGTTTTCTCTACAAAAACAGCTTCCTGACTATTTATTTACCCTTCCAATTGAAAGTACTGCTTGTCTTTAAGTCTTTAAAAATTATGGTTGAGATTAATTCATCCAAGGCATTCATTCAATAAGCATTTACTGGGCAATTCTACTGTGCTGGGGATACATTAAATAAAACCACCCCTGCCCTGAAGGAGTATTTGGACTGATTTTGGCAGACTTTGATTTTGCTTTAATTTACATTTCCCAGATTGCTAACGAAGGTCAATTGCTTGGCTCATATCCTGTGCCCATTTATTAACTAAGATGCTTGTCATTCTTTTGTTTATTGGTAGAAATGTACTAGCTTTTCTGGATCCTAATTACTATTCTGGATACTCATCATTTGTTTCTTACATGCAATGCAAATGTATTGTCCCATCCATAGCTTTGTCTTTTTGTCACACATTATGCTAATATAGTCAAATTAATCAATTGCCTCTGTATTTTTGCTGTTGTTGTTCTTGTGTCCTAAGAAATCCTTCTCTATCCTATGGTCATAAAGATATGCACAAAGGAAAATATGCATTTGCTGTTCACATGTAGGTCTATAAATTCACCAGCAATTTAATTTTGTATATGGTGTGAGGTAGGGATCTGATATTTTCTTTCTTATGGTAGCCAAATGTCCCAGCACCACTTATTGAAAAGAAATTTGCCAGATTGTGAAGAGGGAAGAGGATTTAAACAATTGGATTCGAACCTCAGTCTGGAGAGATCTGTGATGTATCACACCCGTACATTAAGTCTAGCCTGAATTACTAGAGTGCTAGATCCTTCAGGGAAGAAGTACCTCTTATTCACATTGTGTTCCTGTGCCTACTATAGTACACAGCAGATAGTAAAGCATTTGTTAAATATTCAAATAAATATAAAGCCCTTTATAATCTGGTTACCTCACCTTCGAGGTGCACCCACCATGTCCTTAGGATATACCAAATGAATAGTGTGCCTCTGTACTTTTTGTTGCTTCTCTTTGAAATCTTCTTTTCTACCTGCCTTACCAATTGGACAGTTGGCCTGTAAACACTTTCAGGCAAAACACAATGTGTTGCTCTTTTGCACCCACATGGCACCTATAAATACTTTTAAGCAGTACCTGGGACATTGTTGTACAAGCCACAGGCCAATGAGCTCCCTTGGGGATCTCTACTGAAAATTAAAATTCAACTCTCAGAATACTAGAGAAATACAAAGTTTTTCTAGCCTGCGTGGATCAATGGACACAGGAACTTACCAGACTGGGGACTGTATATGAGCTCCACAGGGGCATCCTGATAGCTTTTCCAAATCCACTGACATATTCTCTATGGTAAAGGAGACAGTGTTCCTGGTTCTTCTGCATAACCCTGGGCCTCCCAAAGGGCAAATTTAGTTTCTCTGTTGCTGTTACTAAAATAAAAATAACATAAAATAAAAATGTTTGTAAAATTAGCAAATGCTCCTAAGCATAATAACTACCACTCTCTGATGGCTTATTATGTGGCAGGTACTCTGATAAATATTTTACATACTTAACCTCTTTTACCTATTACAACCGTATGAGGTAGGTGTTAGTATTCCATTCTACAGATTACAAAACTGAGGCTTCGATAAGTAATTTAGCCAAGCAACTAACAGCTCACAGGACATATTTGAAGAGATAAAACCTCAAAATCAGAAGTACATACATTATAACAAAGACGACCTAGGTTAATAATTGTCATAGGGAAGATACTGGAATTTTATAAAAAGTATGTCCTAATGTTTTATTTATTTCTAATTGTCTGCTCCTATAATCTAAAAATCCATCAATTATTGATGGTTAAAAACCTGCAGGGTATTCATGCCATGGAATAACACTCAGCAGATTATAAGAAGCTTATCAAACAACCAACACGTTTACTGAACTGTAACTGGGTGCCAGGTGCTATTCTAAGTGCACACATATATTAACTCATTTAATCTTCATAACAACTCTATAAAGTAGGTGTCCCCATTTGATAAATGACGGAACAGGCCTAGTGAGTTTAATACAAGAATATCTAAAAGATAACATGTATTAATAACATTGCTCTAAATTCTTTCCATGGATTAACTCCTTTAATCTTTACAACTACATGAGGTGGGTACCATTATTACAGATGAGGAGACCGAGGCACAGAGAGGTTAAGTGATTTGGCCCAGGTTACTCAGCCAGGAAGCAGTAGAGGGAGGACTCACACCCAGGCAGTTGGTGTGCTCACATCTAAGAAAGGGAATAGGGGACTGAGGATGCAGCGCGACCATTTCAAGAAATTTGTTTTGTTCCTGGAACCACTGCAACTACCCCACACTTGCTATTGTGGTTGTTAGATCTGGGTTTTCTTTGCCTCCTGTATATTGGCAATAAAATCTTTATGTTCAAAAGCCCCTGTGAGCTTCTTTCCAAGAATCCCCAAAAGAGCAGTACTGTGTTTTGTTAGGTCTAAACATCCAAGACTGAACATGTTTTCTACTGACTTACCTTCATCCTGGGTGAGATTCAGCATTTGATTCACACGTTCTAGAGAAGCATCCTGCAAGATGATGCGGGAGGGGGAGAAAGTAAGTCACAGTAATAACACACGTTTTAAACAGTGATCAGGATTATTTCTGCAGTACTCACACGAATGTTTTACTAGTGAACAAAGAAGCCAGACTCACTGGAGTTTAAATTCCAATTCTGTCACTTACTCAGAAGTATAGAGAAACTACTCCCCCTGGAATACATTTTTTTTGTGCGAGTTTGTAAAGATAAAACTGATAATGGGGCACAGCATTCTGACCAGAGCTGGAATCAACGACTAACTTGGGGTGACAACATCCCAGGGCTTCTCAAGCTTTAGAACACATACAACTCACTTGCAGGCCTGTTCACATGCAGCTTCTGATTCAGGGAGCCTGAGCTCAGTGGGGCCTGAGACTCTGGACCTCTCACCAGCTTGCAAGTGGCGCAGATGTTGACCCTGGGACCACACTTTGAATAGCAAAGGGCATTCTTCACAGAGAGGAACTTGGGGTTTGCAATCAGGGAAACCAAGCTCCTGTGACCCTGGACAACCTACCTAACTTCTCTAAGCCCTCCTTATCTCTAAAATGGGAATGAAACACCCACTTTGTAATGTTTATTATTGTTACTTTAAATGGTGGTTCCATGAGGTTACTGGAAGCAGTAGGTAGGAAACCCACACCCTCCCTCAGATTTGATTTTTACTGAGTTTTGACTGGACTTTTGTCCCTCAAAGCCTCTTTGGTTGGTTACTTATTTATGTGGTGCAATGTTGTTCTGAGGATTAGCGAGTGTGGAGTTTTGCTGACTCCTTCCTGTGAGGAATAACTCTCACCTGAGGCAGCAGGTTTCTCTTGAGCTCTACAACCACATTTGAACTCGGCCTCAAATGCATCTAGACATTAGTTTTAGCTTGATGGACTCCTGATATCTGGACTTCAATTCCATTCTGAAATTGCAGCCCCACCCATGGCTCCAGTTCTCACAGGTGGGCTTGGTTCTTGCTCTTAAAGCTCCCGTTCTGACCCCTGGCCTTTGGGGGTCCCCTCCCAGCGCTCGAATCTCACCTTTTTGAGAGTCTCCTGGGATCTGAAGTCCTGCTCCTGAACTCAGCCAGGTGCCTGATCCACTAAAAAGGCCTTCCCAATGCTGACTGACTGTCAGTCAGCCTCCACACGCTGCCTGATGGGATTCTTCACTGCTACCCAAAGGAGTACCCCCCACTCTGAAGGCTAGGCTTCTTGCTGGGTAGACTCCACAGCATCTCCCCTCATGGGTGTATCTGACGCTAGACTGCAATCCTGTAGCCTCGCAGCTATTTCTGCTCTAAGTAACCAAGCTTGACCATCTGATTCTTAAGCTGTAAGAGGGATGGTTTATGAGGGAAATCAAAGTGAGCTCCAGGAGTCTACTGTTCTGAACGGTTAAGGACAGTTAGCTCACAAGGGAATTAACAACTTCCAAATAGTGCTTCCCAGTTTACAAAGCATATTTACATACTTTTAATCTTATAATGTATTTCTCATTTCCAGATAAGGTTCAGAGAAACCACATACCTTTACGGGGTAAATATCTGCACTAGAACACAAAGCTGGTTGTTGGCTACCTGGTTATACATTGGTTGTTCCTTTACATTCTTATGGATACATGAAGTTATTACTTATGGTTTTTTTTGGGTTTTTTTGCTGAGGAAGATTCGCCCTGAGCTAACATCTGTGCCAATCTTCCTCTATTTTGTATATGGATCGCCACAACAGCATGGCTGCCAACGAGTGGTGTAGGGCTGTGCCCAGGAACTGAATCTGGGCTGCTGAAGCAGAGCACAACAAACTTAACCACTAGGCCACCAGCCCGGCCCATTACTTACCCTTTGTAGCTCAGGGCATGAACAGCCTAGATCATCTGTGGGCAATGGAACCGTAAAGCCACAAACAGAAAAGTCGGACACTTCCTCAGCATGGGATGGCTCATAAAAAGGCACCTTCAGAAGATGGTTTAAACTGCCATGGGTACCGTTGTTTGGTGCTGGTTGAATGTGTAGAAGATCTGTTTTAAAAAATTTAGAGTAGTTTTAAATTGGAGGCAACAACATATCTGTAGGAGACGGGAGAAAACAAGCCCCTCCTGTTCACTTCCTTAAACAAATTCTGCTGCGATGCAGTCGTGTCCTGCACACCCCGATCAGTGTACTAACTTTCTTCCCCCGAGTTTCCATCACCTAGTCTTTCTGGAGAAGAGGACCAGTTGCTGTAGATGAGCTGCAGGAACTTTTAGGAAGTGGTTCTATTCCTCTAGAGAAAAGTATCATTGTTTAAATCATCACTTTGTTCCTTAAACATGTCATGGTTTTCTTGCATAAAAAGCTATACTTTTAGTAAAAACAAATGGAAAGAAGTTAAACAATTTACAACCTTACTTGTAGTATATTTACTTAATTATATGAAAATTCTCTAAGGACAGATACTATTTCAAAATTAAAGTAGGGAATTTTGCTTAATATGTAGGGATCTTTTTCTAACTTTTTTCTATAAAAACAGAACATGCAAATATCTCACAAACATAGGCTTTCACGTGGCCCCCGCTGAGTGCTACCAAACAGATCTCTCCTCGACCTGGAATCCTCTCTAGTCCCTTCTAAGCCTCCTCCCACAGGGCCAGCAGCCCTGACCACAAACTCGGCTTTGGGAACCAAGAATTTGAGCTGTTAAGGCTACAACACATTATTTTTAAGTGGATACTTTTTGGTCTCTAAGTCACATTCCATCACCACAGGCCAGGACAGGATTAAGAGCGACAACTGTGAGCATATTTATGTCCAGATTCCTGCAGCTAAAGGTGAAATTGTAACTTACCCACTGCCTTGCCTAGATGGGTGACTTGTCAATACAATGGTCTGAGGTAAGCATGCAGGCAGAAAAGGTAGGTTAGATTCCTCAAAACTCTAATTCTTTAAGGTTTTTTAACATTGATTATAGTAACAAGTGTCTATCCAAATAGGACTTTCTTTTTTTTTTTTTTTTTTGTGAGGAAGATCAGCCCTGAGCTAACATCCATGCTAATACTCCTCTTTTTGCTGAGGAAGACCGGCTCTGAGCTAACATCTATTGCCAATCCTTCTCCTTTTTTTCCCCAAAGCCCCAGTAGATAGTTGTATGTCATAGCTGCACATCCTTCTAGTTGCTGTATGTGGGACGCAGCCTCAGCATGGCCAGAGAAGCGGTGCGTCAGTGCACGCCCGGGATCCGAACCCCGGGCCGCCAGTAGCAGAGCACGCGCACTCAACCGCTAAGCCACGGGGCCGGCCCCAAATAGGACTTTCTTACCATCCTTTTATGCCAGAAGCTTTTTCTCTGTAATTACAAGAAAATACTTATGTTTTTCATTGTGTTTTTCCTGCTTTGAAAAGCTGGAAGTGTAATTTAATTATCTAAGTTTTATTAAATTAAATTTTCATATAGTAACTAACTAATAGAAAAGCTGGTCTCCTGAGATGTAATGTTTATCATTACTAGAAAAACAAAAGAATTCATTCTTATTGCTGAATAATTTTGAATAATAAATTATTCTTCCCCATCTTTTCTACTTTCTGTCTTCTTAGCACAGAGCATCCGCCTTTGGGATTCAATTTATCACCAATTTCAAAATACATATTTTTAAAACTATATCCCCATTTTGCTGTTGTATTTATATGGATATACTTACCACATATTAGGTTATAGATTTCAATATTTTCAAATGGTTCAATTTCAGTCTTCTCTTTGAAACTGGGTCCATGTGCCAAAAAGATAGCCTAGATAGTAACAGTCCTACTATTACTAGATGCATCTAAACTCAGAAACAGATGGTGGCAGAGACACACTGTGGTTCTGTAACAGCTCTCCTATTTGTACTTAGGCCTTTGTAAGGATTTCTTTTCGGATTTCAAAGTGACTTTTACATCACTTCCACCTGTGATATTGTACCAATCCCAATCAAATATAATCCCTCCTGTGTTGACTTGTCTCTCTACCTGCATCCACAGCACCTCAGATGTCAACAGACTGGGAGAATACAGGCAACAGTGGACAACCAACGTCAGCACAATGCTACCACATCTGGGCAACAGAAATTAGAAATTCATCCTATAACATCACGTATTCTTTTCATATTCTTTTCATATCATTTCTCAAATATGTTAATGTATGACAAAAAATGTTGAAGTTTCTAAGCATTAAATTTTTGCACAACTTCTACAACCCACTGATTTCTTAAATATATCTCCCCTTTACTTTTAGGATGAATAGACCTAAATATTTTTATTTATATTTAATTAATGTTAATTATATTCTTTATAACAGATCTAATTATTTTAGATTGTAAATAACTAGAAGAAAAGTATCAAACATAAGCTATTGTTTTCTGGTAACAGGGGTGTACCTATATACATACATATATATGTATATATATATATAATACATATGTTTTCTTCCCCAAGATTCTCAGCAAAGAATTGGAGGTGTAGGTTTTTCTTGCAGCAGTTAACTTAATAGTCAAATAGTGCTCTAATTAATAGAGAAGCACTTTGTCTCCAGAGATTTTTCAAATATTCGCAGAGATATAACCCATCATGACAATGATAAGAGGCAGTACATTCAATAAGAGCCTAACATTTTTTGCTTTTTGGAAAGGTATATACATGGGTGTATGTGTGTGTGGTGTGTGCGTATGTATGGTGTGTAGTGTGTGTGTGTGGTGTGTATGAGTGTGTGTGGTGTGTGCGTATGTATGATGTGTAGTGTTTGTGTATGTGTGGTGTGACTGTGTGTGTGTGCAGTGTGTGTGTATGTAGTGTGTGTGGTGTGTGTATATGTATGGTGTGCCGTGTGTGTGTATATGTGTGTGGTGTGTGTATGGTGTGTAGTGTGCATATGTGTGGTGTGAGTGTGTGTGTATGTGTGGTGTGTGTGTGTGGTGTGTGTGTATGTATGGTGTGTAGTGTTTGTGTATGTGTGGTGTGAGTGTGTGTGTGTGTATGTATGGTGTGTAGTGTTTGTGTAGGTGTGGTGTGAGTGTGTGTGTGTATGTATGGTGTGTGGTGTGTGTACATGTATGGTGTGTAGTGAGTGTGTATGTGTGGTGCGTGGTGTGTGTGTGTATGGTATGGAGTGTGTGTGTATGTGTGGGGTGTGGTGTGTGTGTATGTATGGTGTGTAGTGAGTGTGTATGTGTGGTGTGAGTGTGTGTGTGTGTATGGTATGTAGTGTGTGTGTGGTGTGTGTGTGTATGGTGTGTAGTGTTTGTGTGTGTGTGGTGTGAGTGTGTGTGTGTGTACGTATGGTGTGTGGTGTGTGTATATGTATGGTGTGCAGTGTGTGTGGTTGTGTGGTGTGTGTGTATGTGTGGTGTGTGTGTGTATGGTGTGTAGTGTGTGTGTGTGTGGTGTGTGTATTACAAATGGAACCAGATAAGACCGTCAGGGTGTAACAAGCATCAAGCTTCACCAATGGGGAACACGGCTACACTTCCTCATGGGCTCCTCCAAGAGCTTCTTCCTGGGCTTCCAGGACACCACAGCCTCCTGGTTTTCTTCCTGCCTCACTGGCTCTACTTCTAGGTCTCCTTGCTGGTAACCCTTTTTCTCCCCCACTCTTCTAAGAGAAGTGCTTAGGGCTCTATACATGGTCCTCCCCTCCACCTACACTCAATCCCTGCGGATCTTATTAGTTGCATATCTTCTAAATGATTTATACGCCTCAAACTCAATTGTTTATCTCTGGGTAGACTCTCTCTTAATTGCCTATCTAACATCCCTACTTGCACGTCTGATAAATGTTTTGAACTTAACATGTCCAGCTGAATCGCGCTCTTCCCCTCCATCAGTGGCAGCCACAGTCCGACATCCGATGGCTACGAAGGCTCTCGCCCCAATACAGCAGACACTCCCACCCTCTAACAGTTATATTTCCCATAACACTTATCCCCTAACATACCAAATAATACATTCCTTTACTATGCCAACTGTCCGTATCCCCTTGTTAGAATGAACGCTACATGAAGGCAGGGATCCTTATCTTTCTGTTCACAGATGTATTCAAGAGTCCTGAACATTGCCCATCACAAAGTAGGTGCTCAATAAGTACTTGTTAAAAGAAAGCAGTGAGTTACCTCCATGCTCTTAAACTTAGTGTCGTAACCATGGGTGCCTCCTCCACAGGATGAATAATCTTTACTCCTATAAGGAATAATAGTAGTACACTGTGATCCATATATTGATATGAGACCCTAATGATTGCAAACTGAGATTTAATGGATTTTTATGTAGCTTCCGCTTTTATATAAGCAAATTTTTCTGTCAGCAACAGCATAAATATGGTTATTTTCGTGCTCAAATTCATAACCACAGAGGAACAAACAGAATGGTCGGAGAGAGGGAATGAGAATTCCAGGGTCTGTAAATAGAATTCAAAAGCCTTTCACTCTTAGATGTAGACAAAAGGATAATAACAAAGGCATAGATTTTAAAAAAGAATTTGGCTTCGAGCTTACCTGTCCCTTTACACATGTCTGTGTGATTGAGAAGAGTTTGATTAATATGTAACTGCAAGCATTTTAGTACTTTAGAAATAAATCTTTGGAACTGGGGAAAATATTGATTCCTATTTTACAGTGGAGATGTCTAAGGAAATAATATAAAAGTATGAGTAAAGAATACTCAGTAAGTTACCTATAACACTTGGTAAGGGGAAGCCAGTATATTCTATAAATTCAGAGTTTATTTTTAATTTTTGGGATTTTCTTCCATAGGCCATTGCTCTATTACTTGAATGACTTGTCAAATTTAGTTAGTCTTTTGCTACTTTTTATATTTTAATCTTTGAATTGCACAGTATTAGCAATTTTATACATAGTTAGCTTTTATACTTGAAAACAAAATAGCAATAAATGAACCTAGACTTTTTTTAAAGCAACAATGTTATACTGGTTCAAATTAGGTCTCTAAAGGGAAAAAAAGACTACTATTTCCAAAGGTTGACCTGAAAAGATTCCTCTCATTTGCTTCCCCACTCCCCACCTCCCACTCCCCAGGGCAAATACACACACAAACACACACACACACACACACACACAATGTTCTTGTTTGTTTTTACATTTTAGGCTCAACTGAAAGCAGGACTTAAATGTAGTGTCTTAAAAAGTCAACTTTTTAAAAAAGTATAACTGACTCTAACTCAGCTTAACTAAAAATAAATTACAAAATAAGAAATAAATCACAACACCAAGCAGGCCACACTCAACTCTACCCAAAAGGGGGAAGAAAGGAGAGGCTAAGTAGTGCCTGCAACAGGGAAAGCCAGAGGAGTCCTATTTAAGGGGCTTAAATTCAGTTACCCTAAGGAGCCACTTCACGTCCTTGTCTTAGTTAACTCCAGCAAAGTTGTTGGCATAAGGTAAAAGCTGTTTAGAAAATATTTTTATCCTTATTGCACAGATATTTGGTTCCCCAAGATTACCAGAAGTATTTGATTGGGGATAATTAAGTTTTAAATTCTGTGTGGGAGGCTAGACTACATTAATGAAAGAAAGAAAAGGTCTTCTGAAGCAAGTCATTGGTAAAATTTTCTAGAATTGGTCCTTTATTTATCTTTCAATTTTCAGAAAAATCTAGTTTTTTAATATTCTCAACTCCTAACCCAACTCTATCAGAAAACTTTTATATTGCAAAGGTTTATCTGGAAGTAAAAGATAAAAAATATTGTTAGAAAATGCTCTATTTTCTACAGCTTTCCAAATAAAAACTTTAGAGGTTTGCTCTTCTAACTGTTCATGTTCATGCTTTCCAACCATTCATTTGACTCTAGAAATTACATATGGAAAAATGGAAGCCGGCATTTGGAAAAGATGAGTGGATTTTAACTGTCATAATTTAGCTCAACTTCCAAGTACTATATGAAAACTTTTGGAACAAATTCTCTTTTATCTTCTCCATGTCTAATTAATAAAGTTATAATCAAGGCCAGGTTTCTCCCCCATGGCTAGTGATGACATAGATGGGAGATGAACAAGACTTCTCTCCTGGTACCAATCAGTTGCCAAGTCCTATCTTTCTCTACGGTACCCTTCACATTTTCCCTTGCTTTCCTCTACTGCCACCATTCTAAGCTCGATCCTCATTACCTCTGACCTGAACCAACTTCCTAATTGGTTATCCTGACTCTGAATCAGTTATCCTAAATCTCACCCCACCCACCCACACATACACACATGCTCATGCATGCATACCCACACTCTTAATCGTATTTAACGCTATTTATCACTGTTGGAAATGGAAACACACGTTTAATGAGTACAAATGTGGCACAGAATATGATAAATCAGTACTACCCTGGGAAATCTGAGTCATAAGTTCACCACATATATTTTCCTGATAATGTGCTACCTAACTAGTCTCACCATCCCACATGGCTCCATAGCCTCCCTCGGGCTGTCATAATGCTGAAGAACGGGTCACTACACATCTTTCTAACTGGCCTTGCTGCCGCTCACTTGACCATCCTCCTCCATATGGCAGCTGGAGTGAGCTCTCTGAAACGCAGATCCCACTATCTACCAGTGGTCTCCTACTTTCTTCACGGTCAAGGTCACACTCTTTAGTCATGACAGATAAAGTGCGTCATGCAGAGGGCAGCTTCATTCACCCAGTGCTCTAGCAACACGGGACTACTTGCCATTTCTGGAATCTAGTCCTTCTGTCAGGAAATCTGACCCTTTCTTTCTACCCTCCTTGCCCCAGAGCAGCTGCTGGCTTTAAAAAGGCACCGGGCTGCTCTGTGCAGAGCCTTTAGAAGAAGAAGCACCTCTGGGCCGGCCCCGTGGCTTAGCGGTTAAGTGCCCTCGCTCCACTACTGGCGGCCCGGCTTCGGATCCGGGCGCACACTGACGCACCGCTTCTCCGGCCATGCTGAGGCCGCATCCCACATACAGCAACTAGAAGGATGTGCAACTACGACATACACTATCTACTGGGGCTTTGGGGGGAAAAAGGAGGAGGATTGGCAATAGGTGTTAGCTCAGGGCCGGTCTTCCTCAGCAAAATGAGGAGGATTAGCATGGATGTTAGCTCAGGGCTGATCTTCCTCACCAAAAAAAAAAAAAAAAAGCAGCAGCAGCAGCAGCTCTGAGAAGACACAGCTGGCAGTGCTCAAGCCTTGGCGAGTAGACAGGTGACTTCCAGCGAAGAAAAGTGGTCCCTCTCCTCCTGCAGACACAGCCCCATCAGGGCTTGATGAGCTGAGCAAGGGTTACATTTCAGCACCCACTCCTCTTCTCGGCTGAGTACCTTGTACACTGCGCAGACTGCACAACTGCACAGGGCAGACCTGCTGTATGGCAGCAGCTAGCCTAACCCACCCTGAGTCTTCAAAACCCAGAGCAGGAATCACCCTACCCGGAGGCATTCTCGGACATTCTCTGACATCCTCGCCTGGGATGTGTGATCACTCTTTGTGTCCTTGAGCCTTGTACTTGATCGTAGTGCAGAGGTTGTTACACCTGATTATAATTGTTCTCTTCCTCCCTGCCTGGGCTAAGACCCTTACGGTGGGGACTGTGTCTTTATCTCCAGTTCTTAGAAAGGTGCCTGGGACATATTTGTCAGTTTCATAAATCATAAAATAATCATAAAATAAAAAGCTTTTATTCATGTTCTCTAAAAGGGCACTTTAACAATACTTCAACTATAGTTTCAAATAACTGGATTTCCCCAAATTAGTAAAATCCAACACATTTTAGGCAAAACAAGGATGATGATGATGATGATGATGATGATGATGAAGAAAATGGATTACACTAAGTGAAATTTGCTATAATTTTGAAAAGAGAATCTAATCTAGTTACCGAATACTGAACATTATTACTAAAGACAACATACTTTCACTTAGAAAATAGGTCTCCTGAGACTCATGTGTTGGAGATAGAGCGGATCCAGGATTGGATCAGATGAAACTGCTGGGTTGATCTGGCAAGAGCTGCAGTTAACACTCCTCTGATCTAAGTTAATTTACTTTGTGTGCTAAGGGCACGAGAATAACAAAACCAGGCTAACCTTGTGTTACAGATGAGGAAAATGAAGCCCCGAGATGCAATCTGTCTGAACTCCCACAAGGAGCCAGGCATGGAGCCAGGCCTTGTAAGCCAGGCTCTTTTTACATCTCACTGCCAGCTGTTCAACGTACAGCTCACAGTTCGAGACTGAGTATTAATGAGAGACACCCAGAGATGTTCTGGAGGCTGGATTCTCCTTCTGTAACCCACTGGTCATGTTGTCGGATGGATGGGCACGTTCTCGTTTTGCACCAGTGGCCTCCTAACTACTTTAATCTCATATTCTTAACAGTAAATATTTGGAGAACTTACCCACATTTATTTATATATTATATACATACATTACTAACAATCTTATATACTTAATATTAGTAAAGCTTAATTTTGTTCACATAGTTTAATGTTTTTTCAGAGAACACTGTCCTGAGCCCTAGACCAGCCCGCTGACCTACACAAAAGGCTGTGAAACTCCAATCCCAAGAAGAGAGGCAGCGCCATCTAGTGACCGCTGTGAGCTGCACCCTCTCTGGCCTCGAATGCACTGCGTGGGTTTCCTGGTTACACATCTTCAAGCAGAGGCTCTGCCAAGTCTCTAGTTCCTCCCCCTGCACACACTTACATTAGAGCTCAGCTCTCTCATCTTCTTTTGTCTCCCCTCTGTTAAACATATCTCTCAGCCACTGTATTCCCATAGTCCTCCGTAGCCCCTTGGCATTACACAGCACACACACAAGATAGGCCAGAAAACACAGCATGATCCTGATTCTATTTATAACCTCCTATGCCCATGGAAAAAACACGGGAATGAAATACAAAAGTAGGAAACGTTCATTAAACTACCAGACAGTGTGTATTTATTTGTTTACTGGCTTGTTATCAGTCTTGTCCATTTGACAAGGAGGGCAGGAATCATGTCTGTATCCCAAACGCCTGAAACAGACCTGGCACATATGTAGCAAGCATCAATAAAATTGCATTGTATCCATGAATTGCTTGGTTATTTTGGGAAGGAGTGATTCAGAATGGTTTTTATTTTCTCTAAACATGCTTATATTTTGCAAATGCTCAACAATCAAATGAATTATAACTGTAACTAGAAAAAAGACATAAATGTTACAACTAATTGGTTAGCGTGGCCTTATAGCCATAAACGTGATCTTTTATAAAAACCACAAAGATGACAAAGATCTTAATTAAACAGCCATCTTACTACCAGCCTGGAAGACAGCTGATATCATCTTTACATTCTGTCTGTTGCCTAAAGGAGACCCCAGTGAGGGTTAAGACTGTATCGGTATTGACCGTCTCTGGAACAGTCGATGTACAGTCTCAGCCTTCCTCCTCAGTCTCATCTATATTTGTGAAGGTTATGATGCTAGGATCAGCAATCTAACAGTCATTTCAAATACAAGAGTGCTAGATAGCATATGAATGTCAAGAAAATGTCAATGCTCAGGAAAATTTACATGATCGTAGTAGCAGGGTAAAGTGAAGAAAATTTATAATGAAAGATGGTTGTTAAAAGTATTGTGAGATAAGTAACTAGACACACAAACCTCACAGCCAGCCACTGTCGATCCACCAAAAGATGAACTTTGTCGATTCTGATATTTTTGGCAAAGTGTAGTCGTTTTGGCAAATCAGGAGTCAAATAGGGTTTGAAATGCTGATCAGGTTTTTGGCACTGAAAAATAGGTAAATGATGTCTTCATGACGCTTATATGCTTATTACACAAGTTAATTCAACAATTTCATCTCCTAAGACAATTTATTAAGCACTTTTTAAAAGTAAGAGGATTTAAGCTTGGCTAACAAAATAGGAATATTAAACCTATTATCAATGCAGCTGCATTCCTTAATTATAGTGTTTTTATTGTTGCAACAATATTTAGGTTGCAATTAAAAATATGATGTAAATTATACTGTTTGATGTTCCAAGTTTTTATTCTTGTGTATATATCTTAAACCGCCATAAATCTCTCCTCCTTTTTGACAGAGAATAGATATAAGTCTAGATTTAGAGCAGCAAATACAACTTTTGAGTCTAAATTACACATAAAAAGTATACAATACAATACTGGCTATGAGTAAAAATTTTAAAAATCAGTTTGAGCCAAAAAATGCCTTCACAATTGACTCAATTTACCCTTTAAATAAAGTATATTTGCTTAATTTTCAAATCAACAATTTTTGAAATCTAGTACAGTCTCCCTATTTGTGAAAAATTCATGGATTTCTCACACACTGGAGTGAAATTTTGTTTCTTTAGTAATACTGCTGTAACTAGATGGCATATTTTAAAACTACATAAAAATGCAAATCATATTATTATCTATCATGTAAAAACAGTGAGGAAATGAGGGATAGAACTACAAAGGAACTTTTTCTCCCTTGTGACCTTTTTGAGAAGCAAGAGAAAAAAAATACAGATAAAAATATGAGGAAATGAATTTTTTCTACTTCCTCATTTTCTCATTTAGTTTAAGCCTTGATAATCTCATAAATATTTCAAATCTGGGTCACTATTATCTCATGCTCAATTTATATAAGAAAAATAGGAGACACTATGAAATAGAATAAAAAACAATTTAAAAGAAATACAGAATATAGGAGAATAGAAAGTTACAGAATGAAAGGGGGGAAGAGAAATGTATTTATTGCACAGATATTTCTGCCAGTTTTTTCCTTGCCTTTTTTGGTATCTTTTCCAGGCTTCTTATTTTTCTACTTTTTCATCTGTCATTACTTCCTTCTTAAGCCAGTATTTTTGTAACTTCCAGGCAAGCGCATAATGGCAGCTGCAGTGTATGCAGCTTCCTCAAAGACACAAGGGACTAGAATGTGCCCTTATGGACCATAGATCATTTGACTGGTGAGTCACAGTTTCCTAGTTGGGTGTGTAGCCAGAGTGAATCCAGAGAAAACCAGGGGTACACCGTCAACCTCTAAAGAAGTACTGGGTTAATCTTTGCATTTGAGAGGAAGACACTAGAGTTGAGATAAAATTTGGGTCATTTTATCTAAGAACAAAGTTGCTGCTGCTGTCTGTCACGCAGCCAGAACTTAGACCTGCCAGTTCATGTCTGGTTATGTTTGTCTAATATGCGCTCAATACAGGCCCACAGAACAGCATTACTGGGGATATTGTACTACCACATGGAATATTTTCCTGGCAATAATAGACTACTTTGGGAAATGGTAGTCCATTTCTTCAGGGTTCTGTAGCTCCAGGCCCAGTCCATATCTGTGATGCCAAGTAATAGATTTCCAAAGCCTGTGGGATCCAATCCCCTTGCACCACAGGGATTACTGGGGATTTGTCCTTCCTCACCCACCAATGGGACTGCAGCTACATGGATCATGAGGTGATGGGAAAAAGGGAAAACAACGTGCGGATTGAGAGCATCCACATGTTAATTCTCGACTACCCACCCAATCAGCACGAACACACTACGTGTACACCCTTCACCAGCAGGGGGTGAGACTGTCTATCTGTTTACTCAAGATCAGAATCTCAGAAAAAGCAAGAGAAAAAGGAGTGACTGACACCCTAAGGGATTTCTGCTCTAGCTGCCATTCCTCCTTCAAACTCACAGGGGGCCCCGGGTTACAGTAACCATTCCTTACCCGATGTGTCATCGTCAGTCATTCACATTTCATCCTAACTGTTTTTACTATAATTGCACATCACCTACATTTAAATAAATTGAGCCCCATGCCAAGCAATGGTAAACTCATGAATTCCATATCATAGATACGTATTTGTGAATATACTTTAAACAGAGAACTATTAAAACTACCACACAAGAATATTTCAGGTCTCTCCAGGTGTAGTTAACTCCACCTTGAAAAATCCAGATTGTTTTAAACTATCTGGAATTTGTCCTGCTCGTTTACTTATAACCTGGGTTATGGAACCAATCAAAAGCAGCTGGAATTATACTTAGAGGGTAAGGAGATGATCTTTCTGACCTGTTCAAAAAGATCTGTAGAGTCTGTGATTTCCTGATATTAAGTCACACAGAAAAATGTCTGATATTAAGTCACACAAAAAAATGTGAAAAGCAATGCTACCTGAAGCTCTCTAGCACGGCCCCTTTGAATGAAACAAAAGCCCATTCCATAAAAGCCAGGAGTCAGTGCCCCTGTTACCCCAAACTAATTTCCTATGATAGTGTCAACTCCAAAATGAAAACAACTAAGATAAAAGCAACTGATATGCATATAAAATAATGTTGGAGGGAGGGTTTAAAAAATATATTACGGGTGGCTTGGAGTCAGAAATATAGAGTATAAATTTCTTGAATCCAAGATTAACATACATAGATTTATTAGGAGACTGTATACTTACACTGAGGTTTCTAACGATTTCTTCAGAATTAACTGTTTCAAAAGAAAAAAAATAAATCACATTACGATTGATACTTGACAACTGCAAAAAATGTGAACAACTCAGGTGAATTTGACACTAATTTATTAATGAATATGATCTGGTAAAATTAAATAAAAATTATTTTAGCATTTAAGAACAGATATAATATATTGTAACATAACGATATTAGATATTACCATAAACTTTATAGACTGACTATCCTTAAACATGGGAATTTCTCACTTGCTTCTGTGTGGTCTTCTCAAGAAGTCAGAAGAGGGGCCTGGTAATCCCTACATCCTCAGAATCGGGGGCTATGGTTATTCACGTTAAGTTTTACCTTTTTTTTTTCATATGGGCATCTTTATACTTACAGCTATAAAAGTCTTGAGGTACATTATCAGCCCTGATGCGGGGGGCAGGCCCTTCATACATGTAGAAGTTTATTTGGGGTAGATAATCAGTCATATATTCCACTTTGTCACAGTAAGTCTGATCCATTCCTGAAAAAAAAAAATCATCCCCTGAATGCATATAGATGGTAACAGTTGGTTGTCTTTGATCACGTCAAATAGCAGATAGATCTCAAACCAAGTTTCACTGAGAGCCTATGCAATTTACCCTCTACTTTACTCTAAATGGCAGACCTTGAAAATCCTGGCAGGAGAGCGAAAGGTCATGTTTATAAGAGAAGAATAGACAGGAATTATCAACAGATCATTTGTTCAGTGTAGATCAATTAAGGTAATTTCAAAGAGGAAAATAGTCTCTAGGAAGCTAATTAGATCTTTATAACATCTGATTTGTACATAAAGCAATATGATAAATTTTTAAATCAAAAAAACAACATGCATTTCTACAAAACAATAGATTAAGAGAATAAGGACTAGAGAATATTTATTTTTCATAAGTGTATTATTTAAATTTATATAAGCAGCACGTGCTCTAAAAAAGATTCGGTAGTTAAAACTAACTTTCTTATTTGAAGATTCTTCAGACTACATCACAATTTGTATTTTTATGATTTTTATGATTTTTATTTTTATATTTTATAATTTCTTTTAACAAAATGTGCATTAAAATATTTCCTTTAACTTTAAAACAGTAGGCCAAAGTGTTAGGGAACCATTTTAGAAGTTTTTAAAATAAATTACTGTTTCACACTATCTTGATGTCCTAAAATGCAAAGCAAACTTCTGCAGACTGCTCCTTTTCCTCTTCTTGCCCCATGTCTGGTTCCTTCACAGATACTGGAGTTTACTTGAATGTCCTCCAAGAGAAGATGGTTCTGATGACCCATCTAGGAAAGGTCCATTTCTGCTATAGGTACCTATGAACACGCCATGTCTAGTAAAGTACTCAGCATTGAGGAGGCACTTAAAAAATACGTGTTGAGTGAATGAGGACTTCAAAACTGTGTGAGGTGGCAGAGTGGCAGCTGTTCCACTTCCTTGAACACTCAGGTTAGCCGAGATGGAGAGTTCACCTCAAGCAGACAAACATGGGGTGATAGAGACTTTATAGAAGTCTATTCATACAACTCAAAAAAAATAATATAGGGGCCGGCCTGCTGGCACAAGCAGTTAAGCGCGTGGTCCGCTGCGGCGGGCCGGGGTTCGCTGGTTCAGATCCCGGGTGAGCACCGACGCGCTGCTTGTAGAGCCATGCTGTGGCGGCATCCCATATGAAGTAGAGGAAAATGGGCACGGATGTTAGCTCAGGGCCAATCTTCCTCAGCAAAAAAAAAAAAAAAAAAAGAGGACGATTGGCATCAGATGTTAGCTCAGTGGTGATCTTCCTCACAAGAAAAAAAATAATAATAATACAAATTCTTTGAGAAAATAAATGAAATTTACAAACTTTTAGCCAGACTCACCATGAAAAATAGAGAGAAGGCTCAAATAAATAGAATTAGAAATGAAAGAGGAGAAATTACAATGGGTACCACAGAAATACAAAGGATTACAGGAGAATACCATGAAAAACTATATGCCAACAAATTGGATAACCTAGAAGAAATGGATAAATTCTTAGACTCATACAACCTTCAAAAACTGAATCAAGAAGAAATAGAGAATCTGAATAGACCAATCACAAGTAAAGAGATTGAAACAGTAAACAAAAACCTCCCAAAAAAACAAAAATCTAGGACCAGATGGTTTCTCTGGAGCATTCTACCAAACATTCAAAGAAGATTTAATACCTATCCTTCTCAAACTATTACAAAAAGTTGAAGAAGAGGGAATGCATCCTAACTCACTCTACGAGGCCAACATCACCCTGATACCAAAACCAGACAAGGACAACACAAAGAAGAAAAATTACAGGCCAATATCGTTGATAAACATAGACGCAAAAATCCTCAACAAAATATTGGCAAACTGAATACAGCAATACATTAAAAGGATCACACACCATGATCAGGTGGGATTTATACCAGGGATGCAGGGATGGTTCAACATCCACAAATAAATCAATGCGATACACCACATTAACAAAATGAGGAATAAAAATCACATGATCATCTCAATGGATGCAGAGGAACCATTTGAAAACATCCAACATCAATTTATGATTAAAAACTCTCAATAAAATGGGTATAGAAGGAAAGTACCTCGACATAATAAAGGCCATATATGAAAACCCACAGAATACATCATACTGAACAGTGCAAAACTGAAAGCCATCAAAGCCTTGTTCTGAGAACAGGAACAAGACAAGGGTGCCCACTCTTGCCACTCTTATTCAACATAGTACTGGAGGTTTTGGCCAGAGCAATTAGGCAAGAAAAAGAAATAAAAGGTATGCAGATTGGAAAGAAAGAAGTGAAACTCTCCCTGTTTGTGGACGACATAATCCTATATATAGAAAACCCTAAATAATCCACCAGAAAACTATTAGAAATAATCAACAACTGCAGCAAAGTTGCAGGGTACAAAATCAAGTTACAAAAATCAGTTGCATTTCTATACACTAACAATGAACTAGCAGAAAGAGAAGTCAAGAATACAATCCCACTCACAATTGCAACAAAAAGAGTGAAATATCTAGGAATAAATTTAACCAAGGAGGTGAAAGACCTATACACTGAAAACTATAACACATTATGAAAGAAACGGAAGATGACACAAAGAAATGGAAAGAGGGGTTGGCCTGGAGGCATAGTGGTTAAGTTCCCGTGCTCTGCTTCAGCGGCCTGGGCTTTGCCATTTTGGATTCCAGGCGCAGACCTACACATTGCTCATCAAGCTATGCTGTGGCAGCATCCCACATACAAAAAATAGGGGAAGATTGGCACAGATGTTAGCTCAGGGACAATCTTCCACAGGCAAAAAGAGGAAAATTGGCAACAGATGTTAGCTCTGGGCCAATCTTCCTCATCAGAAAAAAAAGAAAAAAGAAAGATATTCCATGCTCATAGATTGGAACACTAAACATAGTTAAAATGCCCTTATTACCTAAAGCAATCTACGGATTCAATGCAATCCCAATCAGAATCCCAATGACATTCTTCACTGAAATAGAACAAAGAATCCTAAAATTTATATGTAACAACAAAAGTCCCCGAATAGCTAAAGCAATCCTGAGAAAAAAGAACGAAGCAGGAGATATCGCAATCCCAGACTTCAAAATATACTGCAAAGCTATAGTAATCAAAACAGTATGGTACTGGCACAAAAACAGACGCACAGGTCAATGGAACAGAATTGAAAGCCCAGAAATAAAAACACACGTCTATGGACAGCTAATCTTTGACAAAGAAGTCAAGAACATACAATGGAGAAAGGAAAGTCTCTTCAATAAATGGTGTTGGTAAAACTGGACAGCCACATGCAAAAGAATGAAAGTAGACCATTATCTTAGACCATACACAAAAATTAATTCAAAATGGATTAAAGACTTGAATGTAAGCCCTAAAACCATAAAACTCCTAGAAGAAAAAATAGGTAGTACACTCTTTGACATGGGTCTTAGCAGCATCTTCTTGAGTACCATGTCTACTCAGGCAAGGGAAACAAAAGAAAAAATAAAGAAATGGGACTACATCAGACTAAAAATCTTCTGCAAGGTAAAAGAAACCATGAACAAAACGAAAAGACAACCCACCAATGGGGAGAAAATATTTGCAAATCATATATCTGATAAGTGGTTTATTCCTAGATATTTCACTCTTATATGTAAAGAACTGACCAACTCAACAACAAAAAAACCAACAATCCAATCAAAAAATGGGCAGAGGATATGAACAGACATTTTTCCAAAGAAGATATACAGACGGCCAACAGGCACATGAAAAGACGTTCAACATCACTAATCATTAGGGAAATGCAAATCAAAACTACAATGAGATATCACCTTATACCTGTTAGAATGACTATAATTACCAAGACAGAAAACAACAAATGTTGGAGAGGACACGGAGAAAAGGGAACCCTCAGACACTGCTGGTGGGAATGCAAACTGGTGCAACTACTATGGAAAACAGTATGGAGATTTCCCAAAAAATTAAAAATAGAAATACCATATGATCCAGCTATCTCACTACTAGGTATTTATCCAAAGAACTTGAAATCAACATTTCAAAGAGATTTATGCACCCCTATGTTCATTGCAGCATTATTCACAATAGGCAAGATGTGAAAGTAAACCAAATGCCCATCAGCTGATTAATGGATAAAGAAGATGTGGTATATATACACAATGGAATACTACTCAGCCATAAAGAAGACAAAATTGTTCCATTTGCAACAACATGGATGGACCTTGAGGGTATGATGTTAAGCAAAATAAGCCAGACAGAGAAAGACATACACCACATGATTTCACTCATATGTGGAAGATAAACAAACACATGGATAAAGAGAACAGATTAGTGGTTACCAGAGGGGAAGGGGGTTGGGGGTGGGTGAAAGGGGTAAAGGGGCACAGATACAACAGGTGACAGATAACAAGTAGACTATTGGTGGTGAGCACAATGCAGTCTACACAGAAACTGATAAATAATAATGTACACCTGAAATTACACAATGTTATAAACCATTATGACCTCAATAAAAATTTTTTAAAAAAGAGTACATAGTTCAACACTGATTTGTTACTAAAATAATTGAAGATAAATCACCACTCTAGATAATTACTAATTAGCAGGTTAAAAAATGTTGACCGTAGAAGAAAAAAACAATAAACAATAAGGCAAGGAATCAAAGAGGAGGGCATAGACTGCAGTACCAATTAAACATTAAAATAAAATACACTCTATGTAACCATAACTGAGAAAAATATACTGAAATATATTTCAGAAAAATATACTGAAAAATATACTCAGAAAAAATATACTGAGAAATATACATATCTTGGAAAAATTCTTCTCACTGGCATTCCTAGGCCCTACTATCTTTGGGTGACATATTAAACAAACAAACAAAAAAAACTCTCTACCTCAAACTACAATACAAAATAAAAATCCTTCTTTGAAAAAAATTAAAAAATAAGAAAAAAATAACACACAGGACATGGTAAAACCAGCCAATAAGTAAACTGCAGCCAATCCACGTGAATGAAACTCCCGCTGAAAAGAAGGCCTGAAAAGCACTTTGTATGGCTGAATAAGAACCCAATCACATCCTGTTAAGTACCACTAACTCCATTTTTACAGAAAATTAAGTGCGTGGATGGATATTTAGAATGGATGTTAGAATAATTAAACTAGAAATTTTAATTTTAGTCTTCTATTTATCACAGTCTACCACTAACTCATTCTTGGCTCATTCAAGAGCTTCTAGGCAGAGAAGTACATTATCATTATTAAAGTATCATTATTATTTTTGTCTCCTCCCTGAAGTGATAAGATAGAATCAACGATAAAATATGATTAAAAATAAAGGCATACCATGGTCAGCCACAAGGATTATATTGACACAGTTGTCTAAATTCCGCTGTTTCAGGCCTTCCATCAACATTCCGAAAGCATCATCTACTAACTGTAATGCTTGAATTACCTAAGGAAAGAGAATTGGAGTTAAGATTGTCTTCATGAATTAAGGTGTAATTAAGCATATCATTACGTAGTCAAGCAAAAATTATACGCATTTCCTTCTCTGAATTGATGGGTTTTGAAATAGGACATCAGAGCCCAGCAACCACGCTACTACATTTACCAAATACCAATTTCCTAAATTTCTACAAGCAAAAAATTTAAACCATGTTCCCTACAAAGGAAGATAGACTACTAGGCAATAAAAATCTGAGACAAATGTTCAACCTCAACAAACATTTTTCAACTGCAAAGGTATTCATGATAATGACCAATGCTGGGGAGAAGAGTCCACAGACTCTTTTATAGGAGCCTAAATGATTACATACGGCCTGGAGGATCATGTGACAATGTGTAATCAGAGAGTTAAAAAGGGGCAGAACCGAATAATTCTACTTCTGGGCATTTGGCCTAAGTAAACACTTAGAGTACAAATGGAGATTTACATACAAGGATGTTCATCACATTATTTATCTATAATTTAAATAAAAGAAAAAATAAATTATGCCACATTCTTAAGAAGTCATCCTCAACAGCCTTTAAAAAATATGTTTTAAAGAACACGGCATAGGAAAATGCTCATAATACAATGTAAACATAAAAAATTAAAACCAAGCTGTATATGCACCCGAACATATTGCAGAATCCCGATTTGTTTTTAAATGTATTTAGCATTTCTTAGAAAAGCACATGTATAGAAAACAAAAAGGAAATATATCAAAAATATATTAACCATGGTCATCTCTGAATGGTCAATTGGAATTCATTTTTATTTTATTGTTTATATTCTTTTGTGTTTTTAAATTTTCCAGACTTTATCAATATAGTGCATTGAACTGACAAGGTTTAAGTGAATAACTTTTACTGACATAACTTTTCACTTTTTTTTTCACTGAGTAGGAAAGTGTAATAGTAATAGGATTGGGAAACAATGTTTAATCTCTAATAGTACTATAAGAGTACTATAATTAACAATGATTGTCTTTTTTTTTTCTTTTTCTGAGAATTTTTCAAGCCAATTACCATTAAGAACTTTAGCGCGTTATCTCACGAAATCCTCAAAGCAAACGTTCATGGATGGTGCTATTGGACCTTCCAGTTGTAGAGACCAGGAAACTTGAGGTTTAAGAAGTGAAGAAACGTGTTCATGGCCACACAGTTAATAAGGGACAGAGCAGGACTAGAACTCAAACCATCTCTATCTACTGTTAAATCCATCAACTCCAACATGCTTTCCTGAGCCTCATTCTCAGGGTGACCATGCCCCCTGGTATGCCAGTGAGAGTCACAGTTTCCACCTGTCATCATGACATAGTTATGTCCCCTCTCACAGAGTCACCCTACTCACACCTCCCAACTGTACTGAGAGCCCTCCTCCTCTGTTCTCACCCAGCACCCTGGTATGCTGCCACCACCGGACTCTCCACAGTTTTGAAACCATCTGTGCATGTGTCTGCCTCCCCAGGAGAGCACGAGCTCCCGCAGGGAAAGACCGTCCAACCTCACTCATCACATGCTTCCCAAGCACAGAGCCCCACAAAGTGCACACTCCATAGATGGCACATTTTACTGAACGTGACTAGACGTCAGCCCCCAACTCCAGCCCAGAGAAAGGAAAAGAAGAAGAAATCCCCTTAACGGGCAATGAGTGAGCAGTTTTTTGAGCGCTAAGATCATTAACAGGCATGGAAATGTTTGCAGCTGTGGGGCAAAACAAGTTTGGGTAGAAAACCCTGCTCTTTTCACATGGAATCACGATCACTCACCTTCACAGTGGGTACTGTGGAAGCAGTAAAATCAGCCCTGGTACAATGAATTAACTGGTAAGACCCTCAGTGAACAAGTGTTCTTTGTCTCCAGAAGGCCCTTTCTGTAAAATGGAATTCTAGGTTGCAGAGGAACCTGCTACCTGGAAGCTCTAGACGGCACTGAAATAATCTGCTTTTCATTATATAAATAACATTACTATATCAAAGCACAAATTTAATAAGTGTTTATCAAATGAGTCAAAATGTGGTTCATAAGGCAGATATCCTTTTTAGACCTTAAACTATTTTGTGGTTAATAAGGCAGATATTCTTTTTAGACTTTTAACTATTTTATCAAAAACATTTATATTTTATGGGAATTACAGAATACCATTTTATTTTGTGGGTTAGGGCTAGATGGTTTTACATGTGTTTTAAAAAGAAACTTACTGCAGCACTGACTGGTCCTTTTTGGTGTCCTGCAGAATCAGGCTGTTCCACATACAGGGTATAAAAATCAGGTCTAGGGATGAAATGGAAACAGAGAAGGACATCAGTAAACCCGGAGTAAAACTACAGGTTGGATTTGGGAACTTTGTAGATCTAGAACTTTGGGGCCGTATCCTCTTTTCCTCTGGCCTCCGTCTCTTCATCGGGGTCCCGTGGTCCCACTTGGCCCGAGTAGGGACAGTCTCCTGACGGGAATTAAGACCTTCCAGGCTGTAAGCGCTGGTCAGACTTAGTAACGAAAGCCTGTCTTGTTCTTGCTGTGAAGACCTCTCTCAGTGCCCCTCAGCCCTCATATTTCCGGGTTTCTGACTTTTTGCTGATTCTGTTCTGCCACTCCTTGAAATTTCCTTTAAACATCTGGTCTCAGATGCACCGCTGACCTGGCGCTCTCTTCCAGGATGCTCTGACCGCATCCCGGGGCCGGCCTTGCCCTGGCCCCTCTGGCTCCGGGGTCAGTCCTCACGACCAACTTGCAGATCCACCGCAGTCCTGCTCCCAGCCCATATCTGGTTCTGAGATTTGCTTCTGCTCTTTGGTACTAGCTCTGTCTCTATTGTCCCATCATGTCAACCACATTCTCAAGAGCAAAAAGTCAACTGCTCTCAGAAATAATTCTTGAAAAGTGCCCATTAAAAGAAAATGCTGGGGCGGGCCCAGTGGTGCAGCAGTTAAGTGCACGCTCCGCTTCAGCACCCAGGGTTCGCAGGTTCGGATCCCGGGCACGCACCAATGCACCGCTTGTCAAGCCATGCTGTGGCAGTGTCCCACATAAAGTAGAGGAAGATGGGAATGGATGTTAGCCCAGGGCCAATCTTCCTCAGCAAAAAAAAAAAAGAGGAGGATTAGCGTCAGATGTTAGCTCAGGGCTGATATTCCTCACAAAAAAAAAAAAAAGGAAATGCCAAGTTTTTTTCCAAAAATGGTCATTTAAAGTAAAGAAATAATTTTATTTTATACCCACAAATATCCCACTGTGCCAGCACTTCTCTGACACTAGATATTACCTTTCAGCTTTGGGCAGGTCCAGCCAGTTTAGCAATGTAGAGATCCTCTCTTCATATGGGACACTACTGAAAAGAGCAAATAATTGTAAAAAATTAATCAAGTCAAGAATAATTCCATTATATTTCTGCTCAGGAAGGCAGGTTGATATTTTCAGGTATCCATTTTTGTTCATATGTGATCAAAATACTGAAAGTGATTCAGTATGACTCAGAGGAATTCCTGTTTTCAACACTTATATAGAGATACACTTGCCTCATTATAAATTAAATGTATATTGTTTTCTTTCCTTCTCATCCTTCCTTCCTTCAGTTTTCTCCCAAATAAAATAGAAGGCCATTAATTATTTTCCTTTCATTTGATTTGTTTATTTTTATTCATTTATGCATTTAAGCATATTGAGCATCTATTGACAGACATCCTTTGTTCATTTTAAACAGAATTTATCAGTGAGCAAACCCAAGATGCTTTTTTTCCTGGAGATTACATTCTCTAGGAGGAAGACCAACAATAAACAATAATCCTAATGCATAAATAAATTATATGGTGTGTTAGGCGATAAAAAAGAGAGAGAGTAGAGCAGAGAAAGGGGCACTGAGAAAGTGGGATGGGTGATTTGGAATTTGAAATCTTAGTGTGATCAGGCTAAGACAATATTGAGAAGGTAATTTTTGAGCAATGGCCTGAAGGAGGGGAGGGAGTGGGCTGTGCAGATTCTCAGGCAGAGAGAACAGCCCGCACAAAGGCCCTACAGCAGAAGCAAGCCTGGGGTGTTGCGGCCACCAAGGAGTCAGCATGGCTGGAGAAGAGTGAGCACCCAGAGGAGCAGCAGGAGAGAAGTTCTGAGAGTCAGGGGGACAGTCGGGGTCATACCATGTGGGGCCTTGTAGGCTTGCACTCTCAGTGAAATGGGGCCCACTGAAGTTTTTGGTTCCAAAGAGCGTCACGGTTAGAGTTGTTTTTTAAGTAATCATTCTGGCTGGTAGATTGAGAACAGATTATAGGGGACAAGAATAGAAGCAGGAGCTGTGTAAAGAGGCGACGGCAGGAAGACTGGCAAAAGATGATGACAGCTCAAACCAGAGGGTTAATGCTGGAGGCAATAGGAAGTTCTCAGCTGCACATAGTTTCAATTAGAGCTACAAGCATTTACTGACAGACTGAATGAGGGACCCAAGAGAGAGGAATCAATAATGACTACAAGATTTTTGGCCCCAAAACTGGAAGAATAGAATTACCACCAAGATTAAGACCAAAAAAAAACCTAATCATGTCTTCCTAGGCTGGGAAATATCTACAAGTGCTTCACTACCTGTTGTAAATCCTATATAAGGAAGGAAAGGAGCCATTTACAGCCACGTCTGATCCTGGCCAAAAGTAGGTACCAGATTTTAAACCTTGATACATTGCTGTCAGCCAGACCTATAAGAAGAGAAAATTTAAGATGAGTGAAAGTCAAGAGATTAATCAGTTTGGGTAGAAATATAGAAACTGAACAACATTAACAGTTGCAAAATTTATTTGATCATTAAAATTTATTTAAATTATTGAAAGTTTGTCTTTGTAGCAGTTAAAAACTATAATTATCCAGGGATCCACCTCGAAAATCAAAAATGTACTAAAGTAGTAAGATAGAAGATAATTTTTTCAAATTGGTAAAATTGTACAGTATCTCCCTTTTAAAGAATTATAAGACATACTCAGGAAAAAAATCAACAGATAATCTTTCTAGTAACTTCCAGATTAATATGTTTATAATACAACATACAAGTTTCAAGAGAAGGCCATTTAGGTGAACTAAATGCTTAAAATGAACTATAAATGTTTAAAAGATTCAAATTGTTATTATAAGTAGTGGTGAAACACTTTCCCACCCACAGCCCTTAGAAATGAGAAAGATAATATAAAACTCAAAGTGGAGACAGAAGAGTCGTCCACTGTCATATTGGAAAATGGAGGTTACTTTGGTGCCACATGTAGAAGCTACATACTGGTTGTCCATGCCACCAAGTTGGATTATTTTTCTCCTCTGAAAAAAGTGAAAAACTCTTGTTGAGGTTTACATCATACATATTATTGTCAATGATGCCATGTGATTCTGGATATAAGCCCTAAAAAGATCATTTCAAAAAAAGATTTAAGACAAAATCATACATTAATAAAACATATTTAAATTGAAATAGCATAAGATCTTTAACTCATATCTTGGAAGGATGTCATATATTTTTCAATAGAAAACTCCTGGATCTGAACCTAAATGTATATATATATGTATGGTCTATAGCAGCAAATGAATGATATTAGGCAGCTGGTTTGTGTTGGTGGTATTAATATGTGTTGAGTGATTAATACCTATTTGTGAATTAAAGTTTCCCATATTATAATGATCAGCCACTGGCTATGTTGGCAATAATAGCAAGAAATTTACTCCGTAGAAGCTGTTGCATATCAAATATCCTGGCTAAATGGGTTAAAGTGTGTTCCAACACTTTAGAAGGGAGCCTGCCAAGTCTCCATCCATCCTCCCTTCCATCCATACCTCAATCCAATCGTTCCTTCAGTGCAATCACAAATATTCATTCAATCATTCCACACATTTTCTATGCCTATGATATCCCATGCCGTTGTAACTACTTTTAGATAGATTTGAGTATTTATTTCAGAACATTACTATATATATGAATATGAATACATACACATATTTATAGTGAATGAATAGCACTTACATGCAATCCCTTACTTATGTATACATACAGGTATACATACAGGTATACAGGTATGCATGTATGTGCATAGACAGTCGATTCCTTTTTTTGTTTTTTTGTGAGGAAGATCAGCCCTGAGCTAACATCTGATGTCAATTCTCTTCTTTTTTCTGAGGAAGACTGGTCCTGAGCTAACATCGTGCCCATCTTCCTCTACTTTATATAGGACGCCGCGACACCATGGCTTGACAAGCAGTGCATCGGTGCACGCCCGGGGTTCCAAACCAGTGAGCCCTGGGCCGCCGCAGTGGAGCGCGCACGCTTAACCGCTTGCGCCACCAAGCCGGCCCCTAGACAGTCGATTCTTGTAGTTACGCAGTAGTTATGTTCTATAAAGCTGCTGCCAACACTAAATAGCGAACACGGAACCGTTGCGCCTAGGGAGAATACAGGGTTGGGTTTCTGTGAGCCTCTGATCACATTTTTGTCTACTTATCAATATACAATCTCATTTTATGTGTATTTCTGTTTAAAGATACCTTATTTAATATATATTGTTGGTTCACAATGACTCATGCCTCTAACACATATTTTCTCCATAAGGCACATCACAGCCTTCTTGCTCTTAGGAACACAAGACAGCACTTCAGCACTACGCTAGAGGGCCATTTTAAACGGCAAAATCAAAAAAAGCACGAACATGTGAAAAACATGGCACTAACTAGACAACAGACTATGAAGACAACATGTGTTTACAGTGTGAGAGCTAAAACAGGAAGGCAGAGTGTCACCTTGTTAGACCTCAGCTGGGAACATATGAGCTGGGCAACTCGAATGTTTTGCCACTCTGTGAATGTTCACAAATGACTATGAATATGTTGCGGGTACTGATTTTGGGGTTACGAATGAATTTTAATGAGTTGGTGAATCTGCAAATATAGAATCTGCAAATACATATATAAATATGTGTGTGTATACATATGTACATATACACATACACATAATTACTAGGGTTAAAATTCAAATAGGTTACAGTTACTGTTCCACAGTAATAAAAGACTAAATGCAAAGTAGTAAAGACACAATAAAGGCTTTGGCAGTGGCCTCCTTAAGACGTGTTCTAAATCTATAAGTGTCCAATAACCTAATTTTCCTTTGAGTTCATTTTGATCATTTCACTTTTGTCTTTTCGTACATAGAGGAGAATTTACTTGCTTTATCTAAAGAGATACAACCTGTCTCAATTCATTTATGAAATAGAATCCTTTATCAAGTTAAATATAATGAAAAGACTAAGAAAGGAAGAAATTCCCCACATCCAGGGGCTGTCCTCATACACAGCCTACCATTCCCAGCAGACCTTCAGATAAGTAGACGCTAAGCAAAAGATCAGAGGACAATGGTATTTCTCACATCCCAGAGGCCACCTGGCCTATCACAGAGGTGAAGTAGCCTAGTGCTAGGACACTCATTCATAGTTAACTCCGCACAGCCCTGGATCGGCCTCAGTCCGAGACACTCCTGCCTGGCCTGACTAAGCCATGAACTGTCACCACATGTACTTGTGAAATGTGAGCCATGGGGTGTGGCCACTGCCTGCCTGAGCACGTCCAGGGGGGCCAGTCACCTGTCTGTGGCCTCAGTCTTGCCACTGGCCAAGCACTTACCGTGACAATGGTGTAATGATTTGGGAAGGTTTTGGTTGGATAGACAGGTCTCAGGTATTCTGAATGAATTCCACATGTTTCTGCAACCAAGTAGAGTGGGAAATGAAGAAGGGGTTACTTCCTCAGAAGTTTTTCAGATAATTAAAAATCTGAACATGCAAGTTTCCCAGGGGAATAGAAATCTAAAGAGTGGACTGAAGATAGAAAAAGGTTGAAATTCTGGCACCTAGAACTCCTCTGTTCCAAGGAATGTCAGTTTTTAGGAGAGGAGTGAGCTAATGCAAGGATCTGTGAAATTCTGTAAAGAGCTAGAAAACAAATCTGTTACGCTTTGCAAGTCCATACTGTCTCTGTGCAACAGTTCAACTCTGCTATTGAGGCCCCAAAGTATCCATAGACAATATGTAAACAAATGAGCATGACTGTGTTCCAATAGGACTTCATTTACAGACATTGAAATTTGAATTTCACATAATATTTCCACGTCAAAAAATATTCTTCAGTTTTTCCCCAACCACTCACGAATGTAAAACAATTCGTAGCATATAGCAGGCCATACAAAAACAGGCAGAGGGGGCTGGGTTTGGCCCACGGACCACAGCTGGCTGACCCCCAAGCTAAATGACTCTAAACGATACACTACCTGCTTTGTGTCCTTTTGCTGCTTCCCTCTCTCTCACCAGGTCATTACTACAAGAATTTCTGTGTAACATTTGCATCTCAGCTAACAGCTCTTACGTGTAAAGTATCCGATATAACAAAAGTCAATACAACTCTCTAGATAATGAAGAGGAATTTGACTGTATAAGTGCACAAGCCCATGTCATGTAGCAACGTTTACATAGTGAGCCAACTTTACTGCTTGTTATTTTCAGTACAGTTTCCACTTATCAGTGAAGTTTCCTGCAATCTGTTTTCCAAAAAGCATGGAATTAATTTTGCTTCTAATCATTCTGTTGTTTCCGGTCTGTGCAATAACCCTGCTGAAGGAGGTCAGAACCACTAGAACATATTGTATCTCCTCCGCAGCAGCAAAATACGAGAAATTTCCCATTCCAAAATCCTGTCGACTCTAATTCTAAAAGAAGCTTCATGATTATAGATTCTATTTAGGTTAAAAAAAGAGTGAAAATGATTGTCGTTCAGAAAAGGACAAACTTTGCAGCTTGAAATAATGAATGTTTTCTAAAATACACTTGGAGTTGGTCTCCTTCCCAGCCTCTAGTTCAGTGTTTCCAGTACGATCCAGGAATGTCCTCCGTCAGAATCTTCCTGGGCCCGTATCAAGTCTACTATATAGGACTCTGGTGGAGTTGGGGCTTAGGTGGGTAGAAGGTGGAGGAAAGGGAGCTCAAAAAAATCTACGTATTTAACAAGCACCCCAAGTGGTTCTGATGTACATAAGTTTGCAGCCTGCTCTGGGACTTGACTCATAAGGTATAATTAAAAATTAAAATAACCTTTTTTCTTTTTTAGTCAATACCACCAATACATAAACCTAGTTCTCAATCAGGGAAAGACATATTTAATATTGTTAAGAAGTTATATGATAAGAAAATAAAATGACATCTAAGCCACCTATATAATTAAAATAATTTAAGTGGGAAAAAGATCATACAGTAAACAGAGATATAAAGTCAGTTTCTGTTCTTATTTCCTTGAAACATGGCTGACTCAGTCAAATTCTTAAATGCCTAAAGCACAGGGTATAAAATAAAATACAAACTAAGCTACCAGTGTTGTGAAAACCTGACACCTCCCTAGTCAGGATGTCTTAAACAGGACAAACCTGCTGACTATCTACAGACTCAGGCTACCATTTTGGATCAACTGTCATTGAACCAGAGCTATTGTAGAACTGCTCTCATAAAGCAAGATCTTCTACCATTGTTTCTTCCTGCTAGTAATAGTCTAAATTATGACTGAATAGAATAACTCTGGAGGATAGACAATAAACCAATAAGAGTAGTTGCTTCTGCAGAAAAAAACTAGGATGATCAGGAAAGAGGTTTTCTGTTTGTCGATTTTTTTTACTACAAACCCTTTAATATTGCTTTAAAAAGTTTATCGTTTGCATATTTTACTCCTTAAAAAAACATTTTTTTAAAAAGAAAGTGCCAACCAAAAACATCTGAAAATATAAATGGAATAAACATATATCCACAGTAACTATAAACTAAATGAAGAAACAGATGACTAATGGATGAATAAGTGAAACAGCTGGAGAATGTACAGATGCAGCAAAAGCAGTTCTAGGAGGGAAGTTACCAGTAAACACCCACATTGAAAAAGAAGAAATTTCAAATAAACAACCTAACTTTACACCTCAAGGAACTAGAAAAAGAACAAATGATACCCAAAGTTAGCAAAACGAAGGAAACAATGAGGATTATAGCAGAAATAAATGAAATAGAGAATAGAAAAACAATTTTAAAAATCAACCAAATTAAAGTGGGTTTTTTGAAAAGACAAACAAAATTGACAAAGCTTTTGCTAGACTAACTAAGAAAAAAAGAGAGAAGACTCAAATCAATAAAATCAGAAATGGAAGAGAAGACATTACAACCAATACCACAGAACTAAAAAGGATTATGAGACTACTATGAACAATTTTACCCAACAAACTGGATAACCTAGAAGAAATGGATAAATTCCTAAAACATACAACCTACCAAAACTGAATCATGAAGAAACAGAAAGTCTGAACAGAACTATAACTAATAAGGAACCTGAATCAGTAATAAAAAATCTTCCTACAAAGAAAAGCCCAGAACCAGATGGCTTCACTGGTGAATTCTACAAACCATTTAAAGAATTAATGCCAATCATTCTCAAGCTCTGCCAAATAATGAAGAGAAGGGAACTTCCAAAATCATTTTATGAGATCAGCATTACCCTAATACCAAAGCCACGCAAAGATCACAAGATAAGAAAACGGCAGGCCAATATCCCTATGAACATAGATGCAAAAATCTTCAACAAAATTTTAGCAAACTGGATTCAACAGCACATTAAAAGAATCCTACACCATGTCCAAGTGAGATTCATCCCTAGGATGCAAGGATGGTTCAACAAATGAAAATCAATTACTGTGATACACCACATTAACAGAATGCAGGATAAAAATCACATGATCATCTCAATAGATGTAGAAAAGGCATTTGATAAAATTCAATAACTTTCATGATAAAAACTCTCTACAAACTAGGAATAGGTGGAAATTACCTCAACATAATAAAAGCCATATATGGAAAGCCCACAGCTAACATCATACTCAATGAAAAACAGAGCTTTTCCACCAATATTCAGAATAAGGTAAGGATGCCTACTTTCATCACTTCTTTTTTATATAGTACAGGAAGTCCTAGCCAGAACAATTAGCAAGAAAAAATAATAAAAATCATACAAATCAAAAAGGAAGAAGCAAAATTGCCCGTTTGTAGATGATATGATATTATATATAGAAAACCCTAAAGACTCCATACACAAAAAAAACTGTTAGAACTAATCAATGAATTCAGTAAAGTTGCAGGATACAAAATGACAATACAAAAATCAGTTGCATTTCTATATACTAATGAACTGTGAAAAGGAAATTAGGAAAACAATCCCATTTACAATAGCATCAAAAAGAATAAAATACTCAGAAATAAACTTAGCTAAAGAAGTGAAAGATTTCTACACTGAACACTATAAGACTTTGATGAAAGAAATTAAAGAAGATGTATACAAATGGAAAGACATCCATGTTCATGGATTGAAAGACTTAATATTGTTAAAATGTCCATACTACCCAAAGAGATCTACAGATTCAACACAATATCTATCAAAATCACATAGCATTTTTTACAGAAAAAGAAAAAAACAATTTTAAAATTCTTATGGAACCACAAAAGTACCTGAATAGCCAAAACAATCTTGAAAAAGAAGAACAAAGCTAGAGGCATCACACTTCCTGATTTCAAAATATATTACAAAGCTACAGTAATTAAAGCAGTATGGTACCAGCATAAAGATATACATCTAGACCAATAGAACAGAATACAGAACCCAGAAATATATCTACACATATATGGTCAACTGATCTTCAACAAGGATTCCAAGAATACACAATGAGGAAAGAATAGTGTCTTCAATAAACAGTGCTGGGAAAACTGGATATCTGCATGCAAAAGAATGAAATTTGACCCTTATCATACACCATAAACAAAAACAACTCAAAATGAATTAAGACTCCCACCTAAGACGTGGAACTGTAAAACTCAGAACAAAACATGGGGGAAAGCTTCATGACATTGCTCTTAGTAATCATTTCACAGATACCACTCCAAAAGCACAGGCAACAAAAGCAAAAATGTACTAGTGGGACTATACCAAACTAAAAAGCTTCTGCACAGCAAAGGAAGCCATCAAGAGAGTGAAAAGGCAAGATATGGAATGGGAGAGAATATTTTCAAACCATGTATCTGATAACAAGTTAATTTCTAAAATATATAATGAACTCCTATAGCTCAATAGAAAAAAAAAAAAAAAACATAACCTAATAAAAAAATGGGCTAAGGACTTGAATGGATATTTTTCTGAAGAAGACATACAAATAGCCAACAGGTATAAGAAAAGATGATCAATGTCACTAAACATCAGGGAAATGCAAGTCAAAACTACAATGAGATATCACCTTGCACCTATTAGGATGGCTATTACCAAAAACACAAAAGACAAGGATTGGCGAGGACTTAAAGAAATTACAACCGTAGTATACTGTTGGTGAGAATGCAAAATAGTGCAGCCACTGTGAAAAACAGTATAGAGTTTCCTCAAATAATTAAAAATACAACTACCATATGATCCAGCAATCCCACTTCCGGGTATTTATACAAAAGAATTGAGATCAGGAGCTTGAAAAGATACTAACATTCCCATGTTCAATGTAGCACTATTCACAATAGCCAAGATGTGGAAACCTAAGTGTCCATCAACAGATAAATGGATTTTTTAAGTGGTATATATGTGTGTGTCTATATATATATATATATATATATATATATATAGACACACACACACACATACACAATGGAACTTTATCCAGCCTTAAGAAAGAGGGAAATCCTACAATATGCAACCACATGGATGAACCTTGAGGACATTAAGTGAAATAAGCCCATCACAGAAAGACAAACACTGCATGATTCCACTTATATGAGGTATCTAAAAGAGTCAACTCAAAAGTTAAGAACAGAATGGTGATTTCCAGGGGCTGCAGGGAGGGAAAAATGGAGAGTTGCTAGTCAATGGGTATAAAATTTCAGTTACCCAGGATGAATAAATCTGGAGATCTGCTATACAAACCTTGCGCCTTAGATAACAATACTGTATTATACACTTAAAAATCTGTTAAGAGGGTAGATCTCATGTTAAGTGTTCTTACCACAATAATATTCAGAAAAAAAGGCAAATGGCATCTTCTGTGGAGAATCTAAGAGTTCTATTTTCCATGAATGTCAACCTTGCTGCTCTAATCTGCACAACTCTGCACGTGCTGCCTGCAGAGCCACCTGTTACTACAAGTCTTGTTCTATCTGAGTTTCCCACCTAAGTTTCCAGGAAGTCTGACTTCTAGCTCCAGCAGAAGCACTTCCATCTCACCTGACAGTTTCCTGATCTTGGGCCTGGCCCTTCTTTGTCTGCTCCCACCCACACTGAGACAAG